AAAAAAAAAAAAAAAGAATACCCGTCATAAGTTGCATTGATTTCAAGACTTTAGATTCTAGTGTGCCAGTAATAAGTTTGTTCTGCAATCAGCCCATTAATATTATATAGATCAGAAACATATAAGCTAACAACAATTTATCAGTGAATCTACCATCTGAGGTCAATGGCATCATCAACATGAGAATTTAAGCGCTGGATAGTAATTTTTTGTTAAGAAGAATCAAAGAATTCCGCATAAAATTTTGAATAATTAGGGTGAACCTTAGATTTAGGTATAGTAATTTAACCAGCGATTTAACCACATAAAACTTGTAGGTGAAAAAGATTTATACCTGAGCCACTGCACTGCACCTTGCCACACACACAAAACAAATTGCGATTCAATCAGTGTATCAAAAAAATACGAATTAAAACACACATATCAGAGATTGAATCTGAAAAAATGAAGTAAAACCTCCCAAAAAAAAAAAGTACAGCCTTAGAAGATTTGTCATGGTGAAAATCTCATCTCCGTTAATATCGTCGAATTTACAGAGAAGAAACATCATCTTCGTCGGCTTGTTTGAGCGGTCTGATTGGAGAGGAGAAGAGAGAAAATGAAGGATAATATTGGTTTAGGGTTTGGGAATCAAAGAACAAAGTCAAATCGCGAGTGACTGAGAGGAAAGAGAGACGGAAAATAATAAATGATAGAAAATAGGTGCTTACACATTGTAACCAAACAGGCCCTAACCATCTTCTCCGACGGATGGATCTAAAGTCTAGCGCTCTCAACTCCATCTGATTCACTCGTCGAGAAATAGTGTCTCAAGCTTCATTGGTTGATTCACCAGGAGAGAATTTCGACGGCGGGTTCAATGTAGATTCTCCAGTGAAGCGCCTCAGGTCGAGGAAGTCGCCGGCGGAGCTGGGGTGACTGGAGGAGAACTCGCAGAGAGAAGGTTTTTTGAAATAGTGGATGAGGATCAGGATTCTCGAAGGACAACAGATGAGAATTCTCGGAGGACGTCGAAATTGTGTTTGAAATTGAATAGCGTGTTCTTCTTCTTTATTCCAGTCTGTGGTAACTTGTGCGGAAATGGGGAAAGTGACGGACCAAAAAAGGCGACTGATTTAATCTAGTCAATGGCAAAGCTGTAAATAAATGACCAAAGAAAGAGCTTTTTTGTCAAAAAAAAATCCACGTGTCAAGCCTACAATCCTTCTCACTTGTTGGCTTATATGTATAGTAGAGAAACATATAATAATTTATTAATATTTTAACAATCTCACCCCTACCCCTACCCGCTGCCTAGCAAACATATAGCCCTATTTGTTTTTTAGTTTTGATTTTTTTAATCAACTGAAAAAAGTGTTTGGTAAATAGCTGTTACAAATTGTTTTTTTGAGATAATCCGCCAATTTCAAAAACACTGCTTAGAGCAGCATTTAGATTTAGCTTTTCATCATGTAAAAATGAAAAAGTCTCCATTGGCCTTATTAATATTAGAGTTGTCCTTAATTTGGGGTTTACGAAGTAATTTGGAATAACTATTGCATGAATAATAAGGACTCCTTATTACATTTACTAATTAAGAAAAAAATGCAAAAATGATTTTATAATTAATTAACTAATCTGATTTTTTTTCATTTCATTATTATTTGTAATTTTTATCATATTTAAATCACTTTCATAAATTTTTATCATATTTAAATCACTTTAATAAAATATTAAAAATATTAATTATTTCTATTTCCTAAATAATTATAAGTTTAACACAAATTAGAATGATAAAGTATGTTGATGTCCTTATAAGTAGTTTTACATGTTAACAATAGCTGACAGTGCCGCCTTTACACATTTCGAATTTCAAATCCGCGCGTCACGCCAACCGCTGACTCCTCGCATTTTGTGCCTTATCATGGTCGTTGGTTTTCCTTTAATCCAACGGCTGATATTCATCCTGTTTTCTATAAATGAGATGGGGTTTCTTCCCCAATTCTTTTTTTACGTCTCCTTATTTTCTTCCTCAACTCCGGCAAATCAAAGATCTCAGCTATCATTCCGGCGAGTTTTCTCCATCATTTGCAAGATCCTAATTACCTGTCCGATCGGCGATATGTGTAAGTATTGTCATTTTTTTCTTTGTTTCTCCTATTTTCTGGGTTTTTCGGCCCTCTGCGTCGCCGTGTTCTTCGTGTTCTTAAAAAAATTCTTTGTTGTTGCTTTTTGCTCTTTCTTTTTTTTTTTTTTGAGATGGTATGCTGGATCCTGTGTGGATTATTCTTCAAGTAGTTAAACTGTTATTGTGCGACCTAGGCCATCGCGTATAACCCTTTATCGGTGTTTTATTATGTCGACTTTTACCGACATTCGCTCTTTCTTTTTGTGCTTTCCCTGAGTCGACTTTTTTTTTATACTTCTCCTAAGCCGACCCTTATCGCCATATCTGATCTTTGCCTTTGTTTCTTTTTATTTTAGCTTCCCACTCCGGTTCTTCGGCCGACACCCTCGACAGATTGATCGACAGGGGCCTTGACCAAGCCGACTCAAGCTCTGTTGAGATTATCGGCTGCAAGATGGTGAACGTTTCACCCCCTTCATCGGGTACTTCAACCCCGAAGGTCGACTGGGTCGAATATGACCAAGCTTTGTTGGACGGTGGTCTAGTTGAGGTCTCAAGGAGTCCTCGAGGAAACTCTCCTCGTCTCGACTTGATTCCTCAAGGTATTCCCCTTAGGTTGTTAGATGTCCCTGTATATAGTACCAGTCCCGTACCTGTATCTTTAGTTACACCTCTCGATCCTCGAAAGGTTGTTTCGGTCGCTTGTACTCTGGCCAAATTAGCCACTTTAAACCTTTTTTCTTACGCCTCTGCCGCTCGAGTCGAGAGCTTTAGGCAGTTTAGCGGTCTTCCCTCCGATTGGGAGTTAGTTACCCCGGGTCCCGACGGCAACTTCGCCTGTCCCCCCGAGGGTTGTTATACCTTCTTCGTTGACCAAGTTATCTTTGGCCTGCGCTTTCCCATCCAAGCCGAGCTTTTGGAGATTAGTGACTTGTATAAAATGATGGGTTTCTTCTCAGATCTAGGACGGTCTAATGAGAGAACGTCCGGATCTGGGACGAACCGGTACGGATGAGCTTAGATCTGATGTGATGGCGATCGAACCGTTGTTGTGAGCCGCAAGAACACCTGCAAGAACTCAACGCCGGAGGGGTTTCCGGCGTAGAGCCTCCGACGCTCAAGTCAGTATATGAGAGAGGTGATGATAGCTGCTATCAGAGCAGCATCAGTAATGAAAAGGATCTGGAATGAATGGGAGTTAGGGTTTTGGGATTACCGCAGTCCTTTATATAGGAGTACAATATATACCTGAAGTCCCCAAAATGCCCCGGCCGACTTAATGGAAATGTCCAGAATACCCCGGTCGGTTCATATTCCGCCTACTTCCTAGTCAGCATCTAGATCCTTCCTGAGCTTCCTTCTTATCCTTAATTCTTCTGCAATATGCTGAGGTGTGTCAAAGCTATCGGGCACCACGAGCTACAACTCTCTCAGTCGACCTGAGATATTACGTCGAGTCGACTGGGTCGCACTCAACTGTTAGTG